AGCCTGCTGGCGAAGATGCTCTTCCCTCTCTTCGTTAGGTGGAGCCCGTCTCTGCCTAGCACTCCTCCTCCTTGGAACACCATCCCATGGTCGAAGAATCCAAAGCCTTCTCTCCGACACCACCTGCGTAGCCATTCGTTGACTTCCACGATTCGACGGTCTCTACCCAGGCCTTTTCCTTGCACAGGGAGGATGGACGAGAACACCACTTGTGCCTCAAACTCCTTTATCCTTCTTCCCAGAGCCACGTAGTCTGCAGTGATCTGCTCAAGGTCATTCTTGGCAGTATCATTGGTGCCCACGTGGAGAAGCAGGAAGGGGTAGCGATCCGAGGGCTTGATGAGTCTCGGCAGTCTCTCCGTCACATTGTGTATCCTAGCTCCTGGCAAGCAGCAGACCTCTTGGTTTTCCCGGTCGGGGCGGCAGATAGATGACTCAGTCCCCCTGAGGAGGGAGTCCCCGACCACCACCACCCTCCTCTTGGGAATGGTGGTCGTGGAACCCCTATCCCTAGGACAGTGCATCTTTTGCCTTCCAATCGGTGAGTCTCCTTCTGCTCCCTTCCCTATCTTGATTATCACTTCAAAAGTTTTTTCTCTTACTTAATTGGCATCTCAGAGTTGGTAAGACAACTCCCACCTTTTCATGCTCTCTGTATGTGTATATATATCTTCTCAATATATGTTCCATTCTATGCATCTGAAGAAGTGGGCTGTAGCCCACGAAAGCTTATGCTCAAATAAATTTGTTAGTCTCTAAGGTGCCACAAATGGCTTTAATGTAAGTTCTATTTATTTAAAAATGGTTTATTATGGGCAATTACCTACATTTTCTATACATCATTTACTAGTAAACTACTGTGAAAGTCTGCAGCATCTCTTTTGAACTCTTTTAGGGTGAAATTTGCCTTTCTGCAGAGGGCCCATTGAGAACTATAAATCCCCTAAGACTTTTAAGACACTGACAGGGCCGGCTCCAGGCACCAGCTTAACAAGCAGGTGCTTGGGGCGGCCAAGGGAAAGGGGCGGCACATGCGGCAATTCGGGGGCGACAGGTCCCTCAATCCCTCTAGGAGCGAAGGACCTGCCACTAAACTGCTGCCATCGATCGTGGCTTTTTTTTTTTTCTCCCCCAATTGCCGCCGCCGTTCGTGATCATGGTCGTGGCTTTTTTTTTTTTTTTTCCTTGGGGCGGCAGAAATGCTGGAGCCGGCCCTGGACACTGAAATCCTACTTAAGACCTATTTTGCCCTCAAAATAGGATTTCAGGGGTTCATAGACCTTTTGTGGGTCTTCTGCAGAGCATTGAATTTCAATCTTGTTGATTAGCACTTCCTTTGTTACAAACTATCAGTGCAATAGTGGGCACCGCATTTCAAGAAAGATGTGGAGAAATTGGAGAGGGTCCAGAGAAGAGCAACAAGAATGATTAAAGGTCTTGAGAACATGACCTATGAAGGAAGGCTGAAAGAATTGGGTTTGTTTAGTTTGGAAAAGAGAAGACTGAGAGGGGACATGATAACAGTTTTCAGGTATCTAAAAGGGTGCCATAAGGAGGAGGGAGAAAACTTGTTCACCTTAGCCTCTAAGGATAGAACAAGAAGCAATGGGCTTAAACTGCAGCAAGGGAGGTTTAGGTTGGACATTAGGAAAAAGTTCCTAGCTGTCAGGGTGGTTAAACACTGGAATAAATTGCCTAGGGAGGTTGTGGAATCTCCATCTCTGGAGATATTTAAGAGTAGGTTAGATAAATGTCTATCAGGGATGGTCTAGACAGTATTTGGTCCTGCCATGAGGGCAGGGGACTGGACTCAATGACCTCTCGAGGTCCCTTCCAGTCCTAGAATCTATGAATCTTGCAAGTGGTCTGCATTCAGAACTCCCACTATATTCAATATATGCAATTAAACTGGCTAGGATAAAAATTCATAAATATAATATGAACCCTTATGCTTCAGGATATAAAACAACTTCTAACTGCCTGGAATTGGGAAGAAGGTTACCCAACAGGGACATTATTGCAAAGTTGTCCATTGTGAGAGTTTTAGACCTTCCTCTGAAGAATCTGCTACTGGCCAATTTTGGAGACGGATTAGTGCATTAAATGGACCACTGGTCTGATCTGGTATTGCCATTCTTCTGTTCCAAGTGGAAGTTGTGAGCAGAGCACTCATTGCATGAGGCCCTGAATGCTATGTAGCAGCAGTAAAATGTCAGCTCTCCTTCAGAAACACCAGAAGCATTCATAGTTTAAAAGTGACTTGCAAGTAAAAATACTGTTTTGAACATTCCTGGGGTTCTTTGATTTTTTAATGAGTGTTTTAATTTAGAGCCACTAGTCAATGGGTCAGTTTCTGGAGTAAATTATTTCTCAGCATGAGTAATAATGGTAAAATCTGACTTTTTAATTTTTAAATGTCTAGCTTTGTCACTGTCTTGAATGCAGAACTCCTACAGGCTTCAACTGAGTGTTTAAAAATATGTAGGCCCTAAGGTACAAGAATTAACCACTGTGGTCTAAGAATTTAAATAATCTTGAAAAAAGATTTCTTGTTAGCTATCATAGCTTAGTGATCCAGTTATTTGGACTGAGATTGCAACTTTTTCCTCAAATCATTGCTGTATGTTCAGCAGAAAAATCTCAGCCGCCTTCCAGCCCATGCATGGTGATAGACCCTAATCAGTAGAAGGGTTAATATACCATGGAAATCCATTAAAAACTCAGCACTCCACAACACAGGATTTCTAATTTCCTTTAAAATTATGCCCACCCCCAGGCCTTCCTATACTAAAAACAGGAAACTGAGCTGTTTGGTGGTAAAGCCTATATGATAACTGGAGGAGCCCAGCACAAAGAAACAAGAAACTCTCCTGGCACATCACTGTGTGGAGGGATAGACAGATCCTGAGATCTATTCTGATACCCTGGAGAGTCTCTCTTCACCCCCCGTGCCCCCCGCCCAAATTGATAATTCTGATTCTGACTGTGGGGTTTCTTTTTTAATCTTCATTATTGCTTTTTCTCAGCTGGAAGGTCACTTTAGTAAGGCAGCTAGACATTGTACCTCCTCATCAACATCAGTGGATAGTGACAGCATTTTCTCAGGCTGACTTCAGGCTCAGACCTAATATTAGACAGTGAAGGGTTCTAATAAACATTTTAGCATATTTATTAACTCCCCCAGTTATCCCATAGGCTTTTTTCTGGTGAACAGCTTGGTTTCCCTTGGGAACCATGTTTCATAACTTTCTGGTCTTCCAAAACCCAGGAGACTGTGAATAGATAGGACAACACTTAAAGGAAAGCTGTGAAAAACTGCTAAGAAGGAAAGAAAGAAGGAAAGAAAAGAAAGAAAGAGGCAGTAATATTAAGTGCTGAATCAAATATCTTCCTGCCTCAGTGACTAATCACAACAGTCTAAATATTAGATCCATAACAACATTCTGGACTTCTACTGTACTTTTAATCTACAAATCTCAGTGTTTTACAAGTTAACATCAGCATTTTCTGACTTGAGAGTTGTTGGTGCTCATCACCTCTGAAAATCGGGCTAGTTATTTAGATGCCTAACGTTAGGCACCTGAGTTTGAAATTGTTGGATTTAGTGATTTACCCAAAAATCACACAAGTCAACTGCGAAGATAAGAAAAGAATGTTGGACTGACTCCCAACCTTATGCAGATTCCATTAGCCCATAGCTCTCCAATACTGAGGTTAAACACACTGTGGTGCACACCACCTTGAATTTCCAAAGCATTCAGCCAAGATATTTTTTTAAAAAAACTGGGTGCCTGAAGTTAGGATATTTAGTCACCAAAATAAATGGGCAGTTTTTCCAAAAGTCCTGAGTATCCAGCAGCTCTCATTAAAATGAATGGGAGCTGTTGATTGATCAGTTTCATGGAAAACCACAACAGTTAATTCGGTGCATACATGTGGACATAGGAACCTAACTTTAGATACTAATTTTTGAAAAATCTTGGCTTTAGTCATTTTATAGTGTTTTTTTTAACCAATTATGCACGTATAATTTGTGTGTGTAAATGCTAAACATGGCTAGGGTGGCCCTGGCACCTCCTCAGAATACGGGATTTCAACGCCCCTGCCCATATGGCCCCTCCCCCTTCTGCATCAGCCTACCCACATGGCCCCACCCTATTTTAGCCCACACACACAGCCCCACCCCCTTCTTTGTCGGCCCCCTGCACTAGCCCATCCTTGCCTGCATGACTCTGCCCCTGTGTGTGAGCCTGCTTGCATTGGCCCACCCATGCCTGCATCATTGCATATGGAGGTGTCACCTTGACCCCGCCCCTCTGGCATCCTCCTGCATCCACAATCTCTTCCTATTCTCACCTCTCATTTTCAATGGATAGAGCCATGTCCAGTGCTAAGTTTCTACTAGACAGGAACAGTACGGCATAAATCTAGGATTGTCCGGCTTTAAACTGGACAAATGGCCTCCCTACATATGGCATGAAATAACATATTGTACACAGATGTGGCCATTCCCATCCATGTGAACCTGAATGTATGCACATGTATTTGTGTGGCCATGTATATGAACAAATAACTGATTTCCATATGTCCACTGGATACATACATTCACATATCTTGGAAAGTTTGGCCCACTATGAGTTTGAGAATCCTAACCGGGTTGCTTGCATGTGTTTGAATCTCATCAGGATGGTAGAATCACTACTTTTAAAGTACCTTCTGTTTCACTAAGACATTGTCACCATATGTATTTATAATGTGCACAGCAATGCAATGCTATTTTTGTATTCCTGGATCACATTCATATTTGACTTCTGCCTTAATAAACTTTATAAAATCAAAGCCAACCTTGAGCTGAGCATCAGCAGTTCTTGCACTGGGATTGAACAAAACAACAACAGTGTTTTTAATGGTGGGATGGCTAAACAAGACAGACTGTAATAATATTTTTATACATACAATACAAGACTCCTGATAGAAAGAGAATAGGTATCCACACTGACCATAGTCTGTATTTTCCGGCTCCCAACAATTTGATGGCCAAAAATAGGGTGTCTATAGAATAAAACAAAATAAAACAAAAAAGCAGGGAATTCAGGTTAGACAAAGCAAGCATTATACAATTCCTAGACTGACACTGTTTTGTAAAGGTTATTTATGTTTTCTTCGGAAATCCACTGTATTGTAAATCCAGCAATTTTGAAATAGGCATCAAAATGGCAAATTACTTTTGTATGCTTATTTATGGTATTTATGTAGTGTGCTAGAATGGCAGCTAAGAAGAATGAAGTATTATTATTATTGATAAACTACAGAACAGGTACAGGGCAGCCCTACTTTCTCCAGGAACATGCTCACACCAACCTGAAGAATCAACGTTTAGAGGTGAGAAGATTTTGCACTCTTTATGACCCATTCAATCTTTGATTTTGCAGAACTTGTGATTAATAAACGGTATGTTAAGGTTCTAAGCAACTCACTAGTAGGTATTTATTAGAGTTGGTCAAAAAGGACAGGCTACTTTCACAAAAATATTCAAATTTTCAAAAAGTTGTATTACTGTCGAGGCCTTCAAAATGCAGTTCTTTATTTTTCCATTAAAAAATACCTAAAATGTTATTTACTTTTTTCTTTTATTGCAAACAAAATGATTTTTTTTATTTCAATAGCATTTTGTTTATATCGTTGGGGAAGATTAAAAAAATCAGACAGCTCTAGTATTTATATACACAGTATATTCATGTGTATACACTAATATGAAATTTGAGATGTGATATTATTATAGTCAAATGTCAGTATTTGTGTTGGTTTGTTTTTGAATTTTTTCCCCGATGGAACTGGAAAAATGAAAAAATGTCTTTTTTTAGGGTGGATTTTTCGTTTGTTTGTTTTATTTTTCCTTCCCTCCCCTCTCTCTGTTTTTCCTCATCCTTCGACACCCACACCTTTTCAATGGAAAACAACGAGAGAAAAGGTGGTGAAAGGGAAAAAGGCGGGAAGTGAAAAATGAAAAAGCAAAATGAAAAAATGTAAAGCAAAATTTCAAAAATAAAAATGGTCAAAACTAAAAATTTCTGATTACAATTTTCATGAAATATTGCTAATAAATGAAAAATAATTCCACCTGCAGAATTAAAATGACAGAAAATATATTATTGTGAAATATTTCAATCTGTCGGTCATTGCTAATGAATTGGTATTCACTGTTCTAGAGCTCTGATGTTAATTTATATCACAACTCATTGCATAAACTGAGGTTCCTTTTGCCAGGTTCCAATGATTAAATGTTAATCTTAAATTATGGCAGCCCTCCCCCCACCAACCCTCCTGGGGAGAGGCTCAGAGAGCCTTTAACATAGCACTCCCATACATGGCGGTAAACAGCCATGCCCTCCCACCGAAAAATCCATGCACAACTCTGTTCCTAAATTAGCAGAAGCATATGCTAAACCTTTTTTAAAAGATGCAGCAGGGCCCACTAATAAATATGTTTCTTCAAGGTACTTGGCAGCATCATGCCTGCTTTATCCATACATAGACATACTGACTCCAGGCATGCCACTCTCAAGGCACACGCCTTCCCAGTCCCTGAGTCTGCATGGCTGTAAATTCAGGAGTGTGAATTTAGCCCTAAAGCTGTCCTAAAATAAGCTAACACTGATATCACCCAGAGTCTTGGACAGCAATCCCTTGAGTGGAACTGGAAATGTGTAAGCCATATGATGCAGCTTTTCTCTCTTAGCCAACAAACAGTTCTTCCAGACAGAGCAATAACACTGTCCTTTTCTTACATGGACACTATAGGTCTTAGGCCTGATCTACACTACGGGGTTAGATTGAATTTAGCTGTGTTAGGTGGATTTAAAAATGACTGCATCCACACAACCAACCCCGTTCCGTCGACCTAAAGGGCTCTTAAAATCGACTTCTGTACTCCTACCCGGCGAGGGGAGTAGCGCTAAAATCAACTTTGCTGGGTCGAATTTGGGGTAGTGCAGACGCAAATCGATGGTATTGGCCTCCAGGAGCTATCCCAGAGTGCTCCATTGTGACCGCTCTGGATAACACTTTGAACGCCAATGCACTAGCCAGGTAAACAGGAAAAGCCCTGGGTACTTTTGAATTTCATTTCCTGTTTGGTCAGTGTGGCGAACTCAGCAGCACAGGTGACCATGCAGTCCCCCCAGAATTGTAGAGCATAGAATGTTTCTATGCTCCCCCTATCATCTCCGTCCCTGAGGTTATCACAGATTAGAAGGTGAAAAAAAACGCACTCGTGATGACATGTTTTCCGAGCTCATGCAGTCCAACCTGCACTGATAGGGCACAGCTTAATGCATAGAAGCATTCAGTGGCAGAGGTCGGGAAAGAATTAAGTGATCGTGAAGAGCAGAGACAGGATGTGATGCTGAGGCTAATGGGGGAGCAAACGGACATGATGAAGCATCTGTTGGAGCTGCAGGAAAGCCAACAAGAGCACAGACCCCCACTGCATCCACTGTATGACCGCCTGCCCTCCTCCCTATGTTCCATAGCCTCTTCACCCAGATGCCCAAGAACGTGGGTGGGGGAGGCTCCAGGCACCCAGCCACTCCTCTCCAGAGATGGCCCAGGCAACAGAAGGCTATCATTCAAACAGTTTGATTTTTAGTGTGGCTACAATAAACAATGTGGCCTTGTCCTTCCCTCCTCCCCCACCCCACCCGGGCTACCTAGTCCGTTATCTCATTTTTTTTAAATTAATAAAGAAAGAATGCATGGTTTCAAAACAATAGTTACTTTATTTCGAAGGGGGGGGGGAGGGTGGTTGGCTTACAGGGAACTAAAATCAACAAATGGGGTGGGTTTGCATCAAGGAGAAACACAAACTACTGTCACACGGAAGCCTGGCCAGTCATGAAACTGGTTTTCAAAGCCTCTCTGATGCAACAGCAGTGGTAACGGTGAGCTGACCAGGCTCCATGCTTGCCGTGGTATGGTGTCTGCATGGATAACCCAGGAAAAAAGGCGCAAAACAATTGTCTGCTGTTGCTTTCAGGGAGGGAGGGGCGACTGAGAACATGTACCCAAAACCACATGCAACAATGTTTTTGCCCCATCAGGCATTGGGAGCTTAACCCAGAATTCCAATGGATGGCGGAGACTGTGGGAACTGTGGGATAGCTACCCACAGTGCACCGTTCCGTAAGTCGATGCTAGCAACAGTAATGAGGACACACTCTGCCGACTTAATGCACTTAGTGTGGACATATGCAATTGACTGTATAAAATCAGTTTCTAAAAATCAACTTCTATAAAATGGACCTAATTTCATAGTGTAGACATACCCTTAGTCTTATCTCAAACATGTGACATGCCTCGTTGCATCTCTGCAATTCAAGTATTTAGCTTACATTCTTCTTCTTCTCCCCCCAACCTTTCCCAGCATTTAAGGACTGGGTAAAATAGTGGACCATGAAGAATCTCCTGGAGATGAGGAAAAGTATGAACCCTAAACATTTAGGAAAGGGGTTTAACTTTTCCAAGGAAGAAAAAACAGAAGAGGGGGGCAGGCCTATAGACATAAGAAACAACAGATCTAGGGCTTGTTGTAGAGTGGGGTGTATGTAAGTGAGGCATGGGATTCACTATAAGTATGAGTGTGTAGAAGGAAGGGAAGACTAGCTGTTCACCTCTCAGCTGGTTATGAACCTCCCAGAGTTATGCAAAGAATCTCTGCCCATGTTCATGATCTCCTCTGTGCATAAACTGTGGTGTGCAAATGCATGTGACTGGCAACCTAGGCACAGTTTGAGAGGGTGGTGGAGTTTTGATCTAATTATTTTGCACAGCTCAATCATCAACAGTAGTAGAATTATCTGTTGTGTAGCTCACAATACAGATACCTTAGGGTACACACATTAAAACCCCCCTGAAAACCCCATTACATGTAGTACAATTTTCAGGCAACTGAAAGCTTTGCCTGGGAGATTTATAGAGGTGTTGCAGTACAAGCATTTTGTACCATAATCATTTTCATAGAGAAGATTATCAAACATTAACTTTTTTGAGTGGAATGTTGAAAACCTGAAGGAACTATCAGTAGTTAAAAATTTCATTTTGCCTGAGGAGTGGCTGTCAAGTGGTTTGCTATGAATGAGTGGTAACATTCCCTATTTGCTACTTTGCCATGACATCCTATTTATAGCTGAAAAGAAGGCAGGTGGCGGAATAGTTTTGGGAAAAATCAAATAGTGTTTATCTGCCCAGGCTGCCAACTTACATCGCTACAATTTTAAAGCATTTGGTCTATATGTGTCTGTACTTGGATATTCCTAGGCAAGCAGTTCTACTCAGTCCTGTGGCTGGAGAAATAAGGTCATATCTAGCACCACAAATATTATCAGAGACCCAAATTCATTGGTTTGTATAGAACAGATTGTCTCTATAAGGTTATTACGAGCCTGGGTAGAAAAGTGGCTCTAGGTAAGCAATGATACCAGGCTGATCAGACATGGCATAAGGACATTGGGTGGTGGGGTAGGTTCTTGCTGTGCATTACAAAAGTGAATACACACTCAGTATCATTACACTTGTATAAATGCTGCTGCACATAACACAAAACCTAATCTCCTAGAATAAAGTGATTTTAAAAGCAGTGCAAATGAAAACATCTGCGTATTACTTGTGTTATATGAAAAAGTAGAGAGACTGAAAATATATTTAAAATATCTACGACATGGAAACATTAAACTCCACCCCATTCAACTGATATTGTTATATGTATTCCATGTACAAAAAGAGAGACTTTATTAATGCAGTACTTTAAATTCTCAATTTTAACACCTACTAAATTACTAGAACCACTCCATGCAGTAAGTAACAAGTCTGACTTAGTTTAGCTTGTTAAAACCATAGGCTCAGGTAGTATAAACAATAGGAATAGATGAATATCTGTCACAACAGATGTAAACTTACTAATGCCTGTCAACATTGATGTTTTGAATTTTTTTTTAGTTTAAGTGTATTGCAATATGTTCATTTAATTTTTAACAAATGTATTGCAGAAAGAAATTATACAAAAAGCACGGTGACCAACTTTTGGCTGATGCCTGACACAAACACACCCAAGAGCAAATTCTCATACAGCCATAGAACTGCAGCAAAGAAGTTAGCTGCTACGCGTATGGGTCCTTTGCATCATCAAGGGCCTTTAATGCCTTCAAACCAGGAATGATGGAGGCATAAGTAGGCATGCCCAGGGGAGAGACGGCCTGGTCTTCATGTTAATCACGAGGCTAACTGGAGCCAGAACATGGATGTAATGTTAACTCTGATTTTGCAATCTACATGTGTGCCCTTTGAGAAGCTGCTTATAACACCATCCCATAATTTAGCCTTAAATCTTTATTAGGGAGCCATTTTGCCATTAGAGTAGCAGCAACACCATCTCTTACAAGTTAAAGACTAAATCCAAGACTTTCTATATATTATGTAATGTTGTATAAACTTTTAGGCAGATATATCTATGTAAAAAAAAAAAGCCTTAGGGAAAAATGTTAAATATTTCATAAGCATTCAACTTGCAACCTCAGATGTTGTATGCTGACAATCATCCATTAGGATAAACTGCCTCCAAAGGAAGAGAGATTCATATTTTATTACAGTATACCATTCTTATTCTAGTACTATCCATCAGGAGGCATTGTATCCTAGTGGATAGGGCACTGGATTGGGACTCAAGACCAGGTTTCTATTTGTGGTTTTGTTAGTGACCTCGGGCAAGACATTTAACCTCTTTGTGGGTCTCTTTCCCCATTTTTAAAATGGAGACACTTAGCTCTTAGCTGTTTTATAAAGCACTTTATGATCTATGGATAAAAAAGTGCTATGTAACAGCTAGTAAATATTGTTTATCATCATTGTTACTATATTAGGCTATTTATTTATTTAAATAAAAACCAAAAAGTAAAATCCTTTCTGTACCCAAGATAGATGGTTAACAGTGTGGCTCTTGTTCAAATGGTACCCATAAAAATGTCTGTTTTGGGAGAACACTTCCTCGAGACATTGAGAGCCCTAGATATGCCAAGAAGTGCCTTCATGCACAAGAGACTTCTTCGGTACTTCTGAAGTTTTTAATGACTCATGGCAGTTCATTCAAAATTGGTCCTGGTGGACATGCTATATCTCACCAGCTTGCCACTGAAGTGAGGAGAGCCAGGATGGGTATGCAGTTTGGAAAGGCGATCACACTCCGATCCCTGGGAGGTTGCTCTGGGAAAGGTTGGGAAGCTGGGGGAAGAAGAATCAGGCACTTTTCACTAGGAAAGCATAATTTCCAAACATGAGGCTGGGTTAAAAGACTATTGGCTCACACTGAGTACAAGGAAGCATGTGCTTGCATGACGTTCCAGGAAGGAATTCTGACAGGAATTCCCCACTCCTGCTGTGGGGATGGGGAGGAAAGTAAACTACTTCACTTCTTTCTGGGATGCAGCTTGTGTCCCCCCCAATACTTGTGCAGCTTCATCTCTGACCCAATTGCTCATATGTTGGGGGTGGATATTGGGTGTGCAGCTCCTGTTTTCTTTCACTGCTAAGGCTGCAATGAAAAAAGCCCTGCTGCTCAGGGACTTCAAGGGGACTCATTACTTCTTAATTCCTTGAATGGCTGTGTTAGAGTTAGCCAAAATCTAGTCCTCTATGAAGTGTGCAGCTATCTGCTAATTTTTAGATCTCCTCCTCTGAACAATATTAGGTGAACTGCCCCAGGAACAATTAGATGCACCTAAAAATGGTAAAAATTGAAAACAGTTATTTCTATACCCACATACTTTTAAAAAGCTGGGGGCACTTATGATTTTAACAGCCCTCCTGATGGTTACAATAGTAATAGAAAAGCATAATTCTGGTTGTAAAAGGGCAATTGAACAAGTAGAACCTAAGCTCCACTCATATTCTCAGCCATTCATACAGAGGAGTAGCTTGTTAAAAAAAAAAAAAAAAACACCTGGAAATAATTACACTGTCAAGAGAGAAAAAAGGGATCGGAACCCTTTGTCAGACATAGAAAAGGACAGCGTACATAACCACAGCTAACCTATTTTCTGCAGGGCAAGTCATTGCGCTGTAGTAGGAGAGTCTCTGCGGGGATGGACTCTGCACTTTGCAGTATTGGCTACTACAAATGCTTTTTCTCTGTGTATCACAGTAGTCTAGAAATTGTTGGATTCTCTCCAGCCATGGTTCTATTTTTGATGCCCCTGGGGAGCTTTTCCACACCTCCCCCCCAAAAAATTAAAGTCAAAGTAAAATAATTTTACCTTTTCCCAGTTGAATGGGCCATTTCCACCTCCTAATTTAACAGCATAAGTAACATACCATTTTTGTATTGGTGTAATTTTGGTTAGAGCTGTGAGATTTTTACCAAAACAGTTATAACTCAATTATACCAGTATAAAGCTGTATCTATTGATATAGCGTACCCCCTTTATCGTCCATCAATGAACCCTACCAGTATAAGAGCATTTATACCTGTATAACTGTGTCCACACATTGCACTAGCTACTACCCCTGAATGGTAAGGCTCACAGTTCATTTAATACTAATCCACCTTTTTCTGCCCCTGATTTGTTGTGTTATGGAAACCTTATATTTCCCAGGTATGGGATATGAATAGATTAGTAATGGTGATTGTACTAGTATTGTAATACTAGTCAAATTCATGCAGTAACACGCCCCTTCCTTGGCCAAATCAACTTCCTGTTCTTTCATGTTAGATTGACAGTATTGCAGGTATGTAGTTATAAATCTACACTACATTTTTGATGCTGTGTCCTTTAGGTCAAAGATCATGCTGCTTTGCCAAAAAAGGGCAGTAGAGCAACAACCGAATCATAACATATTAGTCTAGAGACTCAAAAGGTGAGGTGTGGCATACAACTAAAATGGTGATCATGATTTGAAGGTAGGATGACTCTCCACTCTCTCATGTTTCTTCTACACTTGAAAGACAATGTTCTTCTCAGGTATCTTTGAACGGCATTTTCTTTTTTTTTAAATAAAATGTTAGTCTTAAATGTCTGGGGGATGATATGCTAGCATCCCATCAGACAGTCTTTTCTGGTTCTAATACATTTATCAAACACCAGTACTGTGTCCAATCAGTACTGTCGATCACATTTGTCTCAATGTACAGAACATGAGATCAAGCTGTTCATTGTATGAAACAGTAAAGAACTAATTTTAAAACTAGTGTAATAACATTCAAAAAAGGTACAAATGCAAATAAAAAGAAAAACCTATCAGTAATATATATAAAATCAGATGTATTCTCCTAATCTGCACTAGAATACCTGCACATTTTTTTCCATAAGCACTACAGTGTGACCAACTGGTCAACATAGAAATCTCTCACTATAAAAGGTGAGATCATAATCGAATATGTGCTGGTAGAAGACACACATGTACATCTCTCAGAAGAGGAAGTATTCTGTCTGAAGTGCTCTACAGAGCCTGTGAGGAAAGAGCCATAATGTGTTACATTCCACACCCCAGAACTCCATCAGATCTTTACAAAGGAGGATCCTATTGAGGATTATGCTGAATGCAATTTTATTTCATCTGTTAAACTTTCAAGCCATTGGAGTTATTGTTATTTCAGAGAGGGACATTTCCATCCCCATATAGTTTTATGTAGATATTTGTGATGGCCCTTAGTTTCTTTACATTTAAATTATTAACATACAGTTTCAGAATATAGTCCTATTAGCATTTTTAGATATAAGATAAATTGATATAATTAACTGGGCCACTGAAAGGGGACGATACGATTACAGTTACAATAAATAGGATCTTGCTCTTAATATAAACCTTCATTTAAGCAACCCAAGAACATTTTAAGCATACTTACTTGGAACCGGTAAAAGGTGCCATCATCCTTTAGTGTTAGAACATGGTCTGAGATTGGAAAGAAATAGCCATGGGCGGCCATTAACGTCCCCAAATGTAGAGCTTCCACTGTTGGGATGGGGGGAAAGAAAAGAACATTAAAAAAATTAAATCTTTTCTGTATTTACAGCCAGGGACCTTTACGTGACATTTCTTCCTGTCTCCTGTGAGTAAACACCCAGCTCTTTTACTATTTAATATAGAGATGGCACCAAAATGATTCCTCTTCCTAAGGAATTGATTTGTATTTCTCCCATTCAAAAGCTCTTCCTCTGCATTATCACTACCTTCATTACTAACTCACTCCATCCATTTCTCACTGAGAATTACTGCCATTGTGTTGTCTAACCCCTTCCCTTCAGAACAGGTCTAGAAGATGACATGGTGTTAAAACAGCCTGGGCTGGTAGACATTGACTCACCTACCAGTTGCACCAGTGTGATAAGAGATTTCCCTAAAATCCCCAGTATAGACAATGTATTGAAGAATGGCTTTAATTTATCTTAGCATATAAAGCCACAGCCAATAAATATATGTGTTAAGCATTACACACGTTCTTATATTTCCATTGTACCATTGTTCAGTATCAGAGATTGAGGTCCCAGGATATTGACTACACACTTTGTAATTATTACAATTCTCCTGTCAGGAGAGCAGAGCCATACTCTAACAAGAGTGGAATTGTATTAGTTACACCATGTTCTTCCTATGGTAGTTGAGTTCCTTGGCCCACAAGGCTAAGCTATTTTCCACTAATCCCTCCAAATAACTTTACAAGCCAAACCAGGCTCTGGAATATTTATATACCCATGAAATAGACACAAAACAATTTCTGCCATTTGAAATTTTGACAATACTCTACCAAGGATGGACCAATGGCATGCATAATTTCACTTTGAAAAATCTGTTACAGTTTTATGTGCAACACAATGTTCAAATTGGTAAATGCCTATAGTTTTGCTTTCTTTATGTTCGTATCATACTTTAAAAAGAGGTGACTCTATTGTTGTAAATTCCTAATACTTAATTACTAGGTTGAAATCCCATTCCTCAGTTTTTCAGCATGGATCTATATTGTATATCCTCTCTAAACCCTGGAAGTAGCACAGTAACACCAGCAAGTCTTTGTGGCACTGGAGGAAATTACAGTCACTACATCAACATAGGAAAAAATATCTATTCAATCTGTTTCCTGTCCTTGCTACAAAAGTCATTGTGACAAGGATGGATTAATATTGTGCTTTTTTACACTTTCTTATGTTAGTCTTGGCTATAAGAATGAAACATAGTTCTGTTGGCTCACCCATATTTCATGAGCAATATGTGTAAACTCTCTCTTTCACCTGTCCACTCACCTGAACACTTTCAACATGAGTATTTTAAATTTTTCAAGAGGATGAGTGGGAATTTTTAGCTGCTCTGAATCCACCCACCCTCAGAACCCCCTCTTGGGTTCAGGGAGAGGCAACTTCCCCACTTAGCCCAGCTAACCACAACCCCAATTCTGTCTCTGTTCCATGACAAACATCTCTTGCTCCAGCAGTCTTCTGCAAACTAGTCCCAGTCCTGATGGCATAGAAATTGTCATCCTGGAACAGACAAATGATAGAGAACACATGCTGGGCTTCATCAGACAGTCCACAGTCTCAGATGCTTCAGAGAAAAGAACCAAACCCTCATAACAGACATTCTTGGAACAACATGCCCACAAAGAAAGTTTCTTGACCCTAGACTGTTAGTAGATCTGCCCTGAAACATGACAGTTTGTACCCATATGAAGTTTATCCTATCTAATGTAACCGCAGATATTCTTGTTATTCATATATATTTATAAGCCATTAAATTCTACATCTTGTGCCAATGAAATCCAGAGGTTATTTAATAAATAAATAACACCGCACCCCTTGTAATTATTTTAAAATCAAATGCCTTTTAATTTTAATATCCTCCTTCTTTCACTGTGTAAGTGAGTGAATATCAAAAGACCCTCTTATCTAGCAGCTATCTAAATTATATCTATCTTTGTGTGGGGGAAAGGAGAGAAGAAAGAGTGACAGACAGATACAAATTGGTTAAAAGAAGAAATCCACCAGTCTCTTTTTTAAAGTAAGATGGATTATGGATGGCTGGGTTTTCAAGGAGAAGGACAGAAAGGGTGGCACAAATAGGAATAAATAGTTTTAAAAACTTGTAATAGTTTTATTTATAGTGATACAGTACAAGGAAACAACCCAATGCCTTTTCTCACATCCATCTCTCCTCAGTTTCCTTCCTCAGAGAGAAAGACGGAGCTGACTGGACTCCAAAGGCATGATCCTGCTCTCATTGAAGTCCAAAGCAGAATTCCCATTGACTTCAGTGGTGCAGGGTCAAGCCTCTGGAGGGAAAGGAGAGCAGTAAATGATGATATCATCACGTTGATGCATGTCAATATGAAGCACCAGAATGTCTCAAACCTTCTAAGTCTGAACATAAATTTACTCTTCTATACAAGATGTATGACTGTAAGGATTGCACATTTACATGGATGGCAACAGTATACAGAGTTACAATAGCAAGAATGAAAAAAGAAAATATCAGGTTTGGAATAAATATAAACCCTCAGGGCATAAGCTAAACTAATGGAGGTTAGAAGGAAACAACCTGTAGAGAGAAGTTATCTGATAACAGCCTACTCAGGGTTCTTGTACCTTTTTCTACAGTAGCTTGTGGTGGCCACTTTTGGAGACAGGATACTTAATGAACTAGATGGTTTGATACAGCACAATTCCTATGTAACTGAAGAAATGTAAATCCCATAGGAAAGCAAATTTCTCTTTGAGATTTCTAAAGTGTTATTATTAACATAACCAAGGAAAATTATGTTTAAATTTAAGTTTAACAGTGTCCTTTTAATATTTCTAATAATGCATACAATTGTTAATATAAAGTAACTTCATCAAAAGTATGTAAGTAGCTTAGGATCCTAGTCTCATTGACTTTCAAAGTCACTTAGGCACTTTTGAAAATTTTACACACTCTCAAACACACCTTAGCTATGTCTTCAAAACAATTCAAAAAGTCATTGCTCTCCTTGTGCGCTATGATTTTTGAATATACCAGTTAGCTCTTGAAGTCGGAGGTACTCAAAAGGCATATCTGAGATTCCGGCAGTGACTTCAATGAGGTTCTGCATGCAAAAGTATACAGAATAGGACTTGAAATGTGCCTTTATGGTTTGTGAATGAGAACTCTAAACAAGACTATTAAATCATCAAGTCTACTGATTTAATATTGGTCATAAGGGACCCTCTAATCTTACAGAATAGCAAGGTGACACCAAAGTAATATGCTTTTTCCTTTCCCCCTTATCTTTCTTTCCGGGACTGTAGTAAGAAAACCCATAACCCATAAAATATTAATGGTTCTGACAGAGAATAGGCTGAAAATGTCTTTACCACACTGTTCGCTTAACTATTGCTTAGGTCTCTCAATGTTGGCTCATTTTACATATTATATGCTGCATTGCCATCCATAAACATAAGAGAGTGGGCTAGAAGCAGAGTTTCAGCCTCCTACACTGAGTTCTATTACTATAATAGTTTGTTGTGAGATTGGCAGGTCATTTGTTTGGACACACTGTACATTTTCAGTTTTGAAAAAGATATTTGGGATAGGCCGGAATTAGCTACTGGTATGTGTGACATTCTAGTGCCAAATATAATATGGATGTAGCCCCAGATACTCAGAACTGCTGTGCTCGTGTGCTATGATTTTTGAATGCATCGGTTAGCTCCAGAAATCAGAGGTACTGAGAGGGCAGATCTGAGATTCCATGTGGGTGCTGGAAAGAAGGAGATTGTGACTGTAAGGAGTTTGTGTATGGCTAGAGCAGGGGGTGGGGGAACAGCAATAGCCAGAAAATGGAAACAGCTGAAGGAGGAGGCAGTTAGTGGGCCTGCCAGGTCACTCTAGATGTAGAGGAAGGTTGAGTATAGTGGGGGCAGGAGGAAAGAACTTTAAGGCAGCAGTCAAGAGTATCAGATCCTTTCATCCCTAAACACAGTCCTTCCAAGTAAGCCTTGGGGCGCTTTGGCAGGACACTGATCCCACTTGTTCTTCAGCTAGAGAAAGGACTTCCAATCCTAGAGCTGTCAATCCAACATCTTTTCAAAGCACTGCTGCAGTGCCACCAAAAAAAAAAATATATTGAAACACAAAGAAACTTAGCTACATAGCAGATCAGAACTTTTCTAACCTGGGGAATCTGATGAAGATATGTTACCAACTTTATAAAAAGGATGTTTTTGTCTACAAATACTGATGCTAACAGAGCCATTTCACTTTGCAAGAATGCCTCAACCCACTTCCCACCAATGAAAGGCTAATGCATGGGGCAATTATGTAACCTAGGCTTCTTCACTACACTTATTATTTAAATAGCTACCAGTTAGCTTGCTTAAAATTCCAGGTGCACATTTCTCCATTAACTTCAACCTTAACTTGTCTGTGAAAAGTACTAAGCATAGGGAAATGATCATTTCCCATTCCTTCTTTGTGCTCATTGGGGATAGTTTAATTATGTCGTATATTCAAGACTCCTTTCTTCATTTCCTACTTGTATGTAGTTTATTCTTTCCCTTTTGAAAAGTACAAACACCTCATCCCAAGTCTTCCCCTCTATCTAGTTTTCGGTCTTGCTTAAAGGCAATATATACCCTGGAATTTTAAAAGCAAGCTTTTCAACCAACCGTGTTTCCTAGATCCATATGATATCTGGTTTAGTTCTGATTTTCAGTACATTTTCTTTTAGTGCTTGGCCATTGCACCCATGTGAGTGGAGTTCCCATCTTTTAGCTCCTCCTCCAGTCCAGACATGATTTGCAGGTGCAGTCAGGTGGGGACACTGCAGCCCAAGGCAGCTCCATAACCCCTTCCAGGTCAGTGTGGGTTTATATACCTTGTCATGGGCACATTCAGTACTATCTTCAATTGTTCTACAACGATTAGATATGACAACTTGAAGCACCTTATGAAAACTTGAGAGAGAGAGAGAGAAGTGGGGTTTAAGAGGTGTAACAGAGTAGAAT